TGCCAAGAGGAAAGGCCACCCGGGTGGGTAGGCAGGGAGGGGGTGCCAGGCCCCGGGGCCCCATGCCGTGGGGAAGCAGGATAAAGGTTTGCTGAAATACCTAAACCCTGTCACTTAGGTCCCTAAGAGGTGGGCACGATTATTTCCATCTCTCAGATGAGAATAAAGTCTGGGGGGAAGGTGAAGCACCCAGCCCAAGACTCAGCAGCCAGGAAGTGGCCCGGCGCTCTTTCCACCACAGGTGCAGGAATTCTCACAGAAAAGTGGAGGCCAAGGTGTGAGAATTCCTCAATGACTGCCTTTTAAAGGAAGAGGTGATTGTGGCGCCTGCTCTGAACTCTAGACACAGGCAACCTCTGTGTCTCCCAAGAAACCCAATCACTATCACATTTACTTTAAATATTTAGAGAAGCACAATTTGTTTCCTTGTCAAAGCCAAGAGGTGGCATGTGATGACATGCTGCCAAATGCTTGGGGCACAGATGGAAACTTTCATGTCAATCCTGACATGGTCACCACAGATCTCGATGGCCTTGACGTGCTCTCCTGCTGAGATGTACATCTCCACGGCGGCTTTGGGCTCCTTGATATTTCTGGCCCAGTCAGCCTGTTTGGTGATTAGCATCTTTGTTTCTTTGGGGTCTCCAGATCCAAGGAAATCCTGAGGAAGCACAACAAACAAAAACACTCTGGATCAGAACTTCCTGTGCCAGCGTTACATCAGGCTTTTCTAGCAGCAAGGGCAGGCTCCACATGGCTGAAGCAGGCAACCAGGAGGCAGGCAGGGCCCGTCCCTGAGGGGCTGAGTAGAGGGAGTCCCAGGTCTCGGGAAGAGTGATCTCAGGCTGCCCTGCAGGTGTTCCTGGGGGATCCTGGGACAGCGTCAAGGACACTGGCCCCAGTGCTTCCTTCCCATCTCACAAATGGGCATTTGTTCATCGGCTAAACGACTTTCTAGACTATTTGGGGCCCTGCACATGAAGTCTGCAGGCTCGGGGGTTCATGATCAGGCTGTCTCTCTCTCACATAGTTTGGTAAATACATGATTATTCCTAAACAGCAATGAGACAACCTCGTGCACAATTCCAAATATCGAGACCTGTCATCTTTATTCAGATCGTATGGGTGACACCACATGCTTCAGAGTGGGCTGAGCATGGGTTCCCCTAAACTTATACAAACAAAATGACTCACAGTTTGCCGGCCCTCCATGCCCTCCATGCCCTCTCTGAATCACCAGCAAACACTCTGTGCCCTGAACTAGGGAATCATTGCATGGTCTTTGCCCCAGTTACTTGCCTGGAACAGATAATAAGCAAACTCTCTCTGGTTAGTTGCTTCTCAGCTGAATGGTTAGGGATCCTGTCCTGAGGTCAGGTCTGCAGGTGTGAGGACCTGATCCGACCGTGGGACAGCAGGAGACCATGGGGGGATCTGAGGCAGGGAAGGTGCTCAGGAGAGGATCTGAGAAGGAAGAGACGACTGTGGTCCTGGAGGCTCAGGGGTCAGGCCTAGAGCCTGTGTTCCTTTGGCCTCAGCAGCGGCCCTCTGAAGCGGTATGCCCAGCTTCTCTGGGCTGGCCATAGAATGTGTGAAAAACAGCCTCAGAACATCACCTCTTTTCACGGTAGTTACCCAAAATACACATGTGGGAGTTTGCCAGAGTCGAGGCAGCTTTTAAAGGTGGAGCTTTTCAAAAAGGGAAACTGGGAGCTGACCCCTAAGTTTGTCTTAGGAATAATGTACCCTGCAGAGAGTGCTTTGTGTCAGCCTCATTGAGAATAAAAAAAGCACTCCTTTCCCCATGATTAACGCTCATGTGTCAGGAAAGCACAGTCAATGTATGCTAAAAATCCACTTGAACAATTAGCTCGCTTTTTTTCCTTATTTGCTTTCAAGGTAATTGTGTAGCTCCTAAGATCATATATTAGGTTGGCCTGAGAACCAATGTTTTAAGAAGGGGAGGGAAGGGCATTGTATACGCTGATGCTGGGACCCAATAGATGACAGGCCCCCTGGCTGGCCTTTGGTTCTCCCAGGAGCCGACAAAGGGAAGGGGTTTGGAAAGCAGCCACTGTCCCCGCCTAGTTTGGGCCTTTACAGACACACCTCTCCTTTTGGCAGCTGCTATAGCGCGGATTCTGTACGCTAGCACGAAGCTGGAAACCCTGCCTACCTGGCTGGTGAAATGAGGGTGGCAGCTGGGGGAAACAGGCATCTTAGGAGACTAGAAATGTCCTCCAAAGGGACTTCACAAGTGCTCAGGAGACTAGGGGTGACTGTGTTAAGAAAGGTTAGAGGTTGAGAGGGAGCCATGAGCTTGGGTCGTCAACCCAAGGAGACCATCCAAGCACACGGCTCCCAGGCTCAGGAAGCCTCCTCCAGTCCAGCAGGACCCTCAGGGAGGTGTGACTTCATTGAAGGTGGCTCTAAAAGCTTCCTTCAAGGCTCATCAAACTGGGTTTTGAAAGACTTTTTGATTCCTGAAGCTAATTTACACGTTATCTGGGGCCATGGCAAAGACTTGGCCCTGAAGTGGACAGAAAGAGGCTGTGCTGAGTGATGAATGAGACTAAACAGTGTTCTCATGCTTGGTGATTTTGATAAGAACATACTACATAAGAGTTAAGAGCATTATAATTCCCTTTATCACCATATAAACATGTCACTTATCCAGAAAGCATACAATTTATTTGTACGTGGGAATGTAATTTAAAAATTTTCTGGGCCGGGCGCGGTGGCTCAAGCCTGTAATCCCAGCACTTTGGGAGGCCGAGACGGGCGGATCACGAGGTCAGGAGTTCGAGACCATCCTGGCTAACACGGTGAAACCCCGTCTCTACTAAAAAATACAAAAAACTAGCCGGGCGAGGTGGCGGGCGCCTGTAGTCCCGGCTACTCGGGAGGCTGAGGCAGGAGAATGGCGTAAAAAACCCGGGAGGCAGAGCTTGCAGTGAGCTGAGATCCGGCCACTGCACTCCAGCCTGGGCGACACAGCGAGACTCCGTCTCAAAAAAAAAAAAAAAAAAAAAAAATTTTCTGAAAACCAGATTGAATCTTGAGAAGCCATTTTCAAGTAAACAAAAACATGCCATGTTAATCAGCACTGGATCTCCCCCACCCCCCACATAATGTATATGTACATATTTCTCAAATTCAGACTGCAGCACAGCTGCCTCCTTGAGGAGGCTTCAGGGGTTCCTAAGCCTAAATTATACCTCTAGGGTCTTGATCCCTTAAGGGTTCATCCTGAGTTAAAATTTTGTTATCCCCGGAGGCAGAGATGCACTGACTCTGGTGATCTCAGTATGAATGTGTTATAAAATCTTCTAGGTGTCTGTGGTGGGGCCTGAGGGAGGGTAGGAAAGGTGACGAGGAAAAGGCAGAGGGAGTCTGAACACCCTGCGTCTCAGGTACGGAGTGAAGAAATCACTAAGGTGAAAAACAGGCTGGGGCCCAGGAGCTCATCGAAGTCCCGATGAACAGTAAGTCCTGGGCAACATCACAGGTCACCAACACACCTTAAGCCCCAGGATCAAACATGGTGGAAGAGCACAGCCATCTAGAAAAGCAGAAAAAAGGCCGGGCGTGGTGGCTCACGCCTGTAATCCCATCACTGGGAGGTGGGTGGATCACGAGGTCAGAAGATCGAGACCACTCGGGCTAACACGGTGAAACCCCATCTCTACTAAAAATACAAAAAATTAACCGGGCATGGTGGCGGGCACCTGTAGTCCCAGCTACTCGGGAGTCTGAGGCAGGAGAATGGCGTGAACCTGGGAGGCGGAACTTGGAGTGAGCTGAGATCGTGCCACTGCACTCCAGCCTGGGCAACAGAGCGAGATTCCGTCTCAGAAAAAAAAAAAAAAAAGCAGAAAAAAGGGAAGATTTTCCATCTTGAACTTGTGAGCTGGAGAATTACCATTAGTAGCCCACTAATAGGTTGTGGCTGATGAGTCACTTCATAACACACTGAGAGCCACTTTTGACACTCCCGGAAAAGGCAGGTTAACAAAGCCCCTCTGTAGAAGGAAGACCCTCATTGCTCAATGCATTCAAGCTTTTTTGAACCTTGCTTAGGCTGAACTGTAAATGTCTTGACTGGTCTGGGCTCCTTAATGCAACTCCTTCCCACAGAAGCCATCAGGAGCCAGGTCCAGGAAGCTCCTCTCCCACACCTGCCTTAAAAGGCCCAGCTCTGCTGGGGACTAAGGTTCATAAGGGCCATCCCAAGGCAAAGGGGAATCTCCGCCATCACCCACCGCAACCACATGGTAGCTACTCTGCAGCCGGTAGGCGTGAGGCATGCTGCGCTAACACGGGAGGGCGGAGGCTCTGCCTGACTTCCCAGAGGCCTAGTGAGAAGCCCAGGACAATCAGCAGGTGCTATGGGAAACTTGGCTGGCAGGCACCATGTCGTCCTGTATGATTGGCAGGACCGGCTCCCGCCTGAAGACACCGATTCTTGGCAGCTTCTGACAAGGATTGAGAGGATTTGTGGGAGACAGCCCTGAAGCACTGAGCCCTCAAATCAATGAAGGGATTGTGCTGGCACAGACCCACAGCCATCCAGCTCTGTCGCTGATGAAGGTCTGAACTGCCATAGTCTGCCCCTTTGGTGTCAGTGTTAAAGGTCGGTTTTAGGTGAGTTTCAACCAGTGACTATAGATGGGTCCTTTGTTTACTTACCAGTTTCCCCACATCCTTTCTGAGACCATTGCTAGTTTTTGTCTGCACCAGTCTTGGAAAACAACTTGGACGCCACGGGTGATAACACCAGTGGGCTCCAAGCCAGAGCCTGGGCCTGGGATGGGGTGGGTTACCTCGGCATACTCAAACATGCAGAGGTCGGCGTACATTTCTGTTGGGGTGATCAGACCCAACACCAGGTCGTGGGGGTGACGAAGTCCAACGGAGTCAAAGGAATGAGAAAGAGTTTAAGAGAGAAAGTGGGACCAGGGGGCCATCACAAGTGTGGAGGCTGGGAAGGCCACGAGCTCTGGGAGCCCACACTATTTATTGTATTTATTGTTGCTCAAACAAAGAAACAGGTGGTGAGGATGTGGGGGTTGGAAGGAAATGGTGTATCAAGTGAATGAGAAACATGGCTGCTTGAGATAATGGGAATGCTAGAAGCAAGGAGCCAGCAAGTCTAGCAGACATGCAACCCTGCCTCAGCTTCTCTCCTAACACTCAGCTTTTCTTCCAACACATTTCAAGCTGCCCGCTCCTCTTGTACAGTTTGGCGGCCTCATGGAACTTCCCCTGGTAGGAAAACACATCTGCCAGAAACAGGTCATTGTTGGTCTCTCCCCGCTTCTTCCTCTCCTGGAAAAATTAGAAGCACAGGAAATGGCCTCTGCAGCCATGGGCAGGAAGCAGCCTTTACAAAGGTTAGATGTGGCTATTTCAAGTGAGGCCCCTGGACCTTCCTACTGGAATCTGGGCTTGGCTCCTGGCTGTTGTCTCTCTCCCCCAGGTTCCCGCTGGGAATGCTTGACAACAAAAGCAGGTTTTACCAGACAAGCAAAGATCAAAAAAAGATGCAAACCTTTGTTTGTTTAATGGAAATTCCTCAGGGTTGCTTTCCTGTGTATTCCAAGGCTATGACAGAATAGTTTGAATAGTGTGTGCTCTGACTCATCCATGACCCCTAAGCTCCAGAGATCTCCCAAATCTGCAAGCCCTGTTTGGCAGAGTTGTGGCTCATGGGGATGACAGAGCAGGAGAATGTTTAGGTCTTCCCAAGAGGGAGACCAATAAAATAGGATGACAAGTCTCACTATGTCCCTACTTTTAAAGAGAAAGTAAGAAATCCCGCATGCTGAACATCCACTAGGTTCTGGGTATATACTTCACACACACATGGCCCCTTTATTCCTCTCAGTGACCCTCAGGGTAGGTCTCACTACCCAAGTATTAGAGTGAAGGATGCTGAGACTCAAGAAGAGGAACAGGTCAGGGTCAGACAGAGCTGGAATTTGGATGCAGTTCTGTCTGACTCCAGATATTCCTTGTATCACGTAACACTGTCTTCTGAAGCAAGTGATGTCCCCAACAACACACACACACACACACACACACACACACACACACACACACACACACACACACACACACTTAGCACAGCTGAGGATAAAGCTTCTTCCTTCTGTGTCAGGGAACATTCAACTTGTCTACAGCTCGAGTATTTGTAAACACTCAGTAGCACTCAAACCCTGAGCCCTAGCAGTTTCCTTTTGCTTGTTTTCTAGCAAGAGTAGCATATCGGAGGACGATGAGACATTGAATCAAACTCTTAGACAAGCTGGTGAAAGTTTTAAGGACTGAAGGCAACATACTTCCACACTTGAGAGAAATCATCTTTCAAAAATCCTGCACGTAGTTCAGGCTTATGAAACAAACTAATTCATAATAGTTGGAAATGAATTAAAAGCTTGCTGTGAGATAAAAGATAGATTTCGGCTGGACCTGATGACTCATGCCTGTGATCCCTACACTTTAGGAGGCCGCGGCAGGAGGATCACCTGAGCCCAGGAATTCAAGACCAGCCTGGTCAACCTAGCAAGACTCTATCTCTGCAAAAAAAACCCAAAAAAACCTCCCCAAAAAAAAGGTTTTACTAGGCATGAGAATGAGTCCATATCCATTTTAGGCCCCGGGATATCACCGTGATGAATAGAAACGATCTGTAGCACTCAAGCAGGTGCCTGTCAACATGGGCAGGTTCTTCCCCCCCGTTAGCAGGACAAGAACATCTCCCCTATCCAAAAGGCACCCACTGAGCATCCGCAGTTCTCTGGAATTATGCTGAGCACCCAGATATGAGCAACTAAGCCCCGAGCAGTCAATGTGGGGTGCACTTGAAGGCACTTCACTGTTTTTTAAGAGACATTGTTAAGAGTTTACTTTAACCCATTTCCCAGCTCATAGCACACGAGGCGAGGCAGGCATTTTGACCTTGGTAAGACCTGACAAATGACAATAGTTGGACCCCACGGCCATCAGTTACTTTTGTGGAGAGGAAAATTATGTTCCTTGCCTTCAGTGAAGACCCCTAGATCCAGGCCAGTGGATTTACAAGTGAGAGTCAGCAGCACTGGGCATTTTGGGCAATGGCTCCGAACAAGCCTTTACCCCAGAACATACAGATGCCCCTTATGACACGTGGGTGGGGAGGGTACTTGGCAGAGAGAGCATGAGCTTAGGAGACAAGACTGTATTTGAATTCCACTGAGCTTTTGGCTGTGGACCCATGGGGACGTGGCATCATCTCACTGAGCCTTAGTTTCCTCCCGCATGGAATAGGGAGAGCAACAGTACCTGCCTCATTCAGTTAACGTGAGGATCTAGAGTAGCATTAACATAAATCACGCTTGGGGCACAGAGCAACTTCTGTTATGAAGTGTAGCAGGCTGTGAGCTCCTGTCGGCCTCTCTCCTCAGCTCTGTGCCCACTGAACTCGGCACAAGGTTGGCCCATGACAGGTGTTTATTATGTGGAAATGAATGAGAGGGACAAGACATTTGCGGATTTCTTCACTTTCCAACCAGGAATTCAAATGTGTCTCACATTCCTATACCCTTACAATAAATCTGTTCAGGAGAAAAAATGTGTACGCCTTGTAACAGACAGCCAGGCAGCCCTGAGATACACAGAAATTAAGAATAGTGTCTAAGGGCCGGGTGTGGTAGCTCAAATCTGTAATGCTAGTACTTTGGGAGGCTGAAGTGAGGTAATTGCTTGAGCCCAGGAATCTGAAACCAAACTGGGCTACATGGCAAAACCCTGACTCTACAAAAAATACAAAAAAAATTAACCAGGCGTGGTGGTGCGCACACGTGGTCCCAGCTACTTGGGAGTCTGAGGTGTGAGGACTGCTTGATCCCAGGAGGTCTAGGCTTCAGTGAGCCATGATTGTGCCACTGCACCCTGGCCTGGGGGACAAAGTGAGACCCTGTCTCAAAAATAAATAAATAAAAAGAATGGTGCCTACCACCACCCAGCGCCTAGTTTCCTTTGCCCACTGCAGGCCTATTGGGTTTGGATGACAAGGCCAATACTCTCAGCCAGGAACAGCGGGGCTGGGGGTTGCTCCAGAGCTCTGGGATGCTCAGTTCAGATTGTGGGCCTTGCTTCCCAGGTGCATTTCTGGGAGTGGGGCTCAGCTCGTGCATTTGGGAAACCCCTCAACACTATCAGATTACTGGAGTCTGAGAGGATGGTGACCGACTATTCGCCACCATGAGGATACAAACCATTTCCTGAGAACCTACTGAATCCTCACAGCAGCCTGTGAGGTAGGTCCAATCTCTTTTCACAAACAAGAAACCCAACCCTGGAGAGATCAGGAACCCATCTGCCTCAGTCAGCTATAATGTGACAGCTCACACTGCCCACTGCTGTCTCCCCCTGTGTGGCCACTCTGCCCCTGGAGCGAGGCTGTGACCTGGATGCCCAGTCGCCAGTGAGCATTGCTCCCATGTCCTCAGGGCTTTTGCCTGCTGATATGGTTTGGCCATGTCCCCACCCAAATCTCATCTTGAATTCCCACGTGTCGTGGGAGAGACCCAGTGGGAGGTAATTGAATCAGAGGGGCAAGTCTTTCCCATGCTGTTCTCACGATAGTAAATAAATCTCACGAGATCTGATAGTTTTAAAAAGAGGAGTCCTTCTGCACAAGCTCTCTTTGCCTGCTGCCATCCATATAAGCTGTGACTTGCACTTCCTTGCCTTCTGCCATGATTGTGAGGCTTCCTTAGCCATGTGGAACTGCAAGTCTAATTAGACCTCTTTCTTGTGTAAATTGCCCAGTCTCACGTACATTTTTTCCCGCAGTGTGAAAATGAACTAATACACCTGCCACAAGGGCTGCCCCTGAACCCCGAACCCCAAGTTCACTTTCTTGACAAATAAGAATGCTTCAACTTTTACCTCAGTGCTGATGAGGAGGTCTTATACTCTGATGAAGGCCTGTGGGGAAGAAATAAAGAATAAAACCAGCTTACCTTCTTGGCTTCAAAAGTGGGTGATTGGCTGGGGATTGGGAAGTCAAGCTCACCTAGACAGTGAGCCACAGAGGAGAGGAAGGGAGCAAGCATGGATTAATCATCACGTGTGCAGGAGGTTATACCACTCAGCGAGGCACGGCTTTATCCCCGAAATTGGAACATGCAAAGAACAGCAAAGACATCTCGGTTGCATCAGTCATTTTGGGATCAGGTAAAACAAAACCGTGATGCCACAGTCTGTGGTGGTGCCTCCTTGGGAGACTCTTGACCCAAAGAAGAACAAGCCGGTCTGACCCTCTGGCGGGGCAGGCAGCATCACAGCAGGAGAAGGTGAGATGCATGGACTGACGAGAGACTGCCTTGCACATCTTGGTGACGTGGGTAGAATGCAGGGGACAGCTATGCCTACCCAGTGTTGCCACAGACACAGGGGACCCAGAGGCCCTGGTACTGCAGAGGGAACGGAGGAGGGGAAAGCTGAGAGGGCATAAAGACAGATTCTGGAAGAAGGTGGAGGGGTAGGGAATGAATCCCACCAAGTCCATGGAAGGCAAACTCTTATGTAAATCCTAAAATTGCAGCCCTTGCCAGAGACTTTAACTCATGGACCTCTAGAAGTTTCTGAGGAACAAGCAGACTGGTGTTGGCTAAGCCAGTTTTGCTGCTTTCAGATTCTGCCCAGGATTTGGAGGAGCATGAGCCACCAGGTCAGGCTGCTTTCAGGTGGCTTTGCTGTCACCATTTCCACCAGCTGTGCTTGCTTACATTGCCCCATTCAAAATGGGCTGACCTGTGCCTAGAGGAGGCAGCAGCTCCGAAGCCCTTTGAACCAAACATGCAGAGCAATCCTGACCACTTGCAGCCTCCACTCAGCAGCACGGCATCCTCCCTCCTGAAAAGACCTCGGGAGATGAGCGAGTCCCCGGCCTCTGGCTGCCTTGCAGGTGACCACGACGCAACTTCATCTTTTCATCCCACAGGGCCAGGCTTCCTGTCAGAGACTGGGGACCCAGGGAGAAACATGTCCCGGCCCCTGTCCCCCTCCACAATTCAGAGGCCCACATTCTAACCGGGGAGGCTGGCCAATTAAACAGATCATGACATCTAGAGCTAAGAGCTCTCCGACTATGAACCAGATGCCTGGAGAACACAGATGAATGGTCTGAGCATGAGCGGGGGCGGGAGGCAGCGTTAAGTGAGGCATCAGAGTCAGAACATGGCAAATAAGTGTTTGTGGAGAGGAATTCGTAGAAAAGGGCAATGTGGGCATCACATGGGCCAAGGAACAGAGGGGTAGCAGTAGCTGTTGTGCCAAGCGGCAGGTCTTATACGCTACCCTCTAGATCTGGGTTTCCTTAAAGCAACTTGAGAGGACAACCCTGCAAAGCCTGGCACGGTGGCCGAGAGGGAAAGGAGCATTCGAGGTCTCAGTCCTTGCTCTGAGCCTACTTCTCTGCTTCTGGGCTCCAGCCATCTTTGTGGAAAGGGGCCTGCTACTGACACCCTCTCAAGGGTCTTTCTAGCTCTAGGTCGGCTGTGCTGGGGTCTAGGATTTGCCCACTGAGAAATCGGTTTCTGAGTTCCTTCAGCCTGATGCATCCTGCAGTGTCACGGCTCCTGGTCAGAGTGGTCAGAAGGCTCCTGAATGCACTCAGTAGAGGGAAGCCTGGGAACAGGGAGGCACCTGCAGCTCTACTCAGGTCCTGGCCGGAACTCAGCAGCTCTTCTTTGCCATCTAGTGGGGATGGCAGTCCATCACTGGGGACCACCCTGTGCAAACTGGTGAGCCTCAGTGCCTGTCCCAGAGGAAAGAAAGGCAGGGGATACCGGATTTAGATGAAATAGCAACTCTAGCCTATTGTCAACATCCTCTGCCTTTTTCAAAACATATCGTACTGATTTTCTTTGTTTTTGACACAGAATCTTGCTCTGTCACCAAGGCTGGAGTGCAGTGACATGATCTTGGCTCACTGTAGCCTCTGTTTCCCTGGTTCAAGCAATTCTTCTGCCTCAGCCTCCCAAGTAGCTGGGACTACAGGCATGCGCCACCACACCCAGCTAATTTTTGTATTTTTTTTAGTAGAGTCAGAGTTTTACCATGTTGGCCAGGCTGGTCTTGAACTCCTGACCTCAACTGATCTGCCTGCCTCGGCCTCCCAAAGAACTGGGATTACAGGCATGAGGCACTGTGCCTGTCCCGTGTTGTACTTAATAGACATTTACTATATACAGTTATTTTTTAATTTAAATAAAATCAATGAACAGTGTTATTTTTTAAATCTTGTGGCTTTTTTTTTTTTTTTTTTTTTTTTTTTTTTTTTTTTTTTTTGAGACAGAGTCTTACTCCAGCCCAGGCTGGAGTGCAGTGGCCAGATCTCAGCTCACTGCAAGCTCCGCCTCCCAGGTTTACGCCATTCTCCTACCTCAGCCTCCCGAGGAGCTGGGACTACAGGCGCCCGCCACCTCGCCCAGCGAGTTTTTTGTATTTTTAATAGAGACGGGGTTTCACCGTCTTAGCCAGGATGGTCTTGATCTCCTGACCTCGTGATCCGCCCGTCTCGGCCTCCCAAAGTGCTGGGATTACAGACTTGAGCCACCACGCCCGGCCAATCTTGTGGCTTTAATACACCCTTTCTATTCTCAGGGAGTGTTTTGGGGATACAGGCTGGGGAGTTAAATAAATGAATAAACTTAGTTGTTATCCATTCAAGCATTTTTTGAGCACCAGCGTATCTAAGGCAGTGCTAGGCAGTGTGCAGTGTTATTAAGATGAGGTATGTGTTTAGTTCCTGGATGTAAGGAAGTGACAATCTAGAGGGAAGATTTTTAATTTCATTCCATGCCCAAAACAAACAACACCTATTTTAGGGATTTGTCATCTTCCTCCCTGCAGGCATTTCTGGGTGGGGCAGGAGAGGGAAGCTCTTTCCATGGAGATGCCTCCTCCCTCCTCTGAATCTTACAGCCTCCTCCATCTCCACTTTCCTACACTGAGGACATCTAAAAATATAATCTAAATCATTGTGTTTTGTTTGTTTGTTTGTTTTTGAGACGGAGTCTCGCTCTGTCGCCCAGGCTGGAGTGTAGTGGCGGGATCTCAGCTCACTGCAAGCTCCGCCTCCCGGGTTCACGCCATTCTCCTGCCTCAGCCTCCCGAGTAGCTGGGACTACAGGCGCCCGCTACCTCGCCCGGCCAGTTTTTTGTATTTTTTTAGTAGGGACGGGGTTTCACCGTGTTAGCCAGGATGGTCTCGATCTCCTGACCTCGTGATCCGCCCGTCTTCGGCCTCCCAAAGTGCTGGAATTACAGGCTTGAGCCACCGCGCCCGGCTAAATCATTGTTACACAACGATCACTTCCCTTGTTTAGTAATGGCTAGCATCTGTACAACCATCCCTGCTTTAAATTCCCCTTTACAGCATCTCGGTTAAGCCTCATGACTGCAGCAGGCATTCTCACCACCCTCATTTCAGAACTGAGAGGACTGGGACTCTGAGGCACTGTGCCTGTCCCATGTTGTACTTAATAGACCTTTACTATATACAATTATTTTGTAATTTAAATAAAATCAATGAACAGTGTTATTTTTAAAATCTTGTGGCTTTAATATACCCTTTCTATTCTCAGGGAGTGTTTTGGGGATATAGGCTGGGGAGTTAAATAAATGAATGAATAAACTTAGTTATTATCCAGGCTGGCCTGAGGTCCCAGAGCCCCTTACGTGGCACAGCTGGTTCTCAGCCAGGCTTCTTAGTCCCGGTCTGGTCCAGTCTCCTCTCTCTTCATGCCTACAAGTCTTGACCTAACCCAAGGCGGGCATCACATCCCTCTTTGCCACTCCTTCAGTATCAGCCCAGGAGTATGGACAAAATGAGCAGCTCATTAATTGGCTGTGGGGAGATAAAGAGGGAAGGGGTAGGGGAGAGGGGTTTGGAAGCCATTCCTTCCTCCATCTCAGGTTCTAGATGGAAACACAGCTCAGGAACATACCTGGGCTTTTCCTTATGTGCAGAAAGGGGCCAGATGTTTTCAGCCATCTCTCCAGCTTTCATAGACTAGGCCAGGAAAGGACACAATGAATCAAGTCCATGAATCCCGCCATGAAGGTATGTGGGAAGTGCCTACATTGCTGTCACAGAGACCTTGACCTAGTTGGCAGATGCTAAGAAAAGCAGCATTGTGTGCAGCATCATGGCCAGTGATTACACCGATAATAAAAGCCGCCATTTATGGAATGCCTATGATGTGCCAGGCTACTACCAGGTGCTTCCCACAGATGACGGCTAATAAGAGTGACAGCCAGAATCTGAGATGCTGCTCCTGGATCAGGCTTTACAGGAACCTTCCCATTCGATCCTCAAAGCTTTGTAACAATGGGGCCTGTCATCACCCTACATCTATAGAGAAGCAATCTCAGAAAGTGTGTCACCTACCCAGGCCCACAGTGAGGAAGTGGCTGAGCTTAGATCTAAGCTCAGGTCAGCCTAACTCCAGAGGCTGCTGCAGTCTGTGGCCTTTCTGTGCCAGCTGGGTCCCCATCTGCCTTCTTAAGGGACCCCACAAGGACCAAATTCCAGCTTCTGCTGGCTAGATGCTTACCTTCTTTGCTGTTTCAAAATCTAAACCTTCTAGAGCTTCCATGGCCAGTTCACGCCAATCAGTGTCGGTGACACCCAAGCAAGCAATCTGGTAGGCTTCCTTGAACAGTTTCCTATCCAGGTACTGGTACATGGGAGCAGACTGCAGGATTTCATCAGGGGTAAAAAAGAAGACTGTTTTCAGAGCCATGGAAAGAGCCAGATTCATACAGAGCCTGCCTCCAGATGCGTGGGACAATTACCCACGCCTGGGGAGCAGCCCTGCAGCCGTCAATCAGCACCCTGCCCAGCCTGCCCAGCCCACTCTGTGTGCTCCATTCTGCGTGCTCCATTCTACACCCCTCTCACGGCTGGGCCACTGTGCTCCACAGCACAAACTGCCCATCCTCCCCTCCTTCCCAGCTGCAGGCCTGCCTCACCATAGGATGTCATCCTCGCCTGGAGTGCCTTTGCCCCTCCCCGCTCTCCCTCTGGAAAGTACCTATTTGGCTTTCAAGGCCCTACTGAAATGTCACCTCTTCTGGAGAGTCCGCCCAAGCCCCTGAAGCCCCCACCCCAGGTGAAGGAGTCTCAGCTTCCTCTGCCCTTTGTCCAGATCTCGGGTTGTGATGCAGTTACAGGCCTGTTCCCACAGCAAGGCCGTGCACAGCCCGTGGGCAGTGGTGGGTTGTACCAGCCTCCCTTGGCAGGCCCCCAGGCTATGTTTGCTGACAGAATGAGTTCCTGGGAGGAAGGGGTCTGGGATGGCCTCTTCTTCCAGGGACTGAATCCAAGAAAGGTAAATGATTTGCTCCAGGTTACCCTGGAAGTCTCTGGAAACAAGTCTCCTGCTCCCTGCACTGGGACCAATGCCCTTGTACAAGATGGGGTTGCCTTGCTGTGAATGCCCATGAATAGTTCCTAACGACTTCTCTTTCTTAGGTTTATAAAGGGCTTTTGGCTGTCCCCATAGGCCTGTGCAGTAGGTATTATTTCTCCCTGGCTACAGCCCAGGAGACTGAGACTCAGAGAGGACAACTGACCTGTCCCAGCAAATAGCTGGCAATAGCCAGAGGTGACTGGACTCCAGGTTCTGTGCCCCTTCCTGCCAGGTATGTGGTCGTGTGTATATGTGCATATGTGTGTATGTGTTACCAGTGGAGAGTCTTGACCACAAGCCATCAGGTTCTTGGTGTTTTCAACAAAGAGCTGAACAAAATACACAAATAAAGCCATGAAGGAACGAAGCAACAAAAGCGCAGATTTGTTGAAACAAAAGTACACTCCACAGAGTGACAGCAGGCTTGAGGAAGAGGCTCAAGAGCACCAGTTGCAAAATCTTCTAGGGTTTGAGTACCCTGCAGAGGTTTCCCATTGGTTACTTTGTTATACCCTATGTAAATGAAGGAGTGGTCCACAATCATTCTGATTGGTTGCAGAAGGGGGCCAATCAGAGGTACTTTTCATTTTTTATCTGCTATGCAGTGCAAAGGGAGCCTCTGATCCTTTTGTTACTTCGGTGTGGAGAAGTGAGGTTTTCCTTTTGATTCAGTTCTAGGAAGTCAGCATGAATCAGCCTTAGGTTTCCTCCCTCCAGACCCTATTCTGCGTCATGCGGGAACAAGAACCAGTCTGAGTTTGGCCAGGATATCTTTAACAAGGAAGGGCCTTGCCCTTGTTTTAGGCCAGCCAGTGTGCTTCAGGGCCTGCATCTCTCCTGGCTTCCTGGGCAGGAAAGAGCAGTCACCCAGGACCTCTGTGCTAATGGTTCCCAAATGTGGATGTGGAAGTGCTGTTTTCTCTGTTTGGGGCCTTTATCTTTGAAATTTCCAGTCCCATTTTTTAGTTTTAGTGTTGAAGGCAAGTTTTTTCTTTTTAAGCTTGTGTAAACCAAAAGTAAAAGTCTACGCCCTCCATGCCTCCCTTGAATGAACCCCTCCCCTTGGAGAAGGAGGATTCCAAAAAAACCCTAAAAAACTAGTTCCAACCATCATGGGCATAAGGGGTCAGACATGCCTCATTTTACCCTCCTCCCTTTGGAGTTTAGACACAATGGACCAATATTAACAAGAAAACTGGGGTCTCAAGACTGACAAAACAGACTCTGTAGCAATGAGGCAGGATAGTATCTAGTCTGGAGGCAGGGAACTTAAGGCCAATTCATGCTGAATCAAGGAAAAACACCAAGGTCTGGGTGGAAGCAGGGAGTCTGAGGCCAATTTGTGCTGACTTCCCAAAGCTGGATCAAAAGGGAAACATCTGGGTCTGGAGGCAGGGGCCCTAAGGCCAATTAATACCAACTTCCTGAAGCTAAACCAAAAGGAAAAACCCAGCTCCCCATGCCTAAGTAGCAAAGGGTCAAATGTTACTCTTTCTACAATCCTCCCTGTTCCACTGTGGCTTAGACAAAAAGGGAGAGTGGCTTAGAGTGGCCAGGGCCAAGCAGGGACCAGCCCTTCATCTGCATAGAGTGCCATTCACCTCAGTCTTTACTTAGCCACAGACCAAATCCTTCAACTATATAAGGGGTAACTGATAGGAACCTCAAAAGGAGTACTTGAAACCCAGAAAACTTTGTAATCAGACCCTTGAGCTGCTTGGGCCCACTCCCACCCTGTGGAGTACTTTCTCTCTTTTATAAATCCCTGATTTTGCTACTTCAATCCTGTGTTTCAGTCCTTTGTTACTTAGTGTGTTTTGTCCAATTTTTTGTTCAAAACACCAAGAACCTGGACAACTTACACTCAAGGCCCTCCTTCCAGTAACAGCAATAGAACACTGTATTTCAACTTGACTCCGATATAACACTGATGGCAGTGACTACTCCAGATCCCTGAGTTTTGGACAATCAGATGTAGCCAGCTGTTCTACTGTAGCTCCCAGCTGCAGCAGGGAGACGTGGCTGGGGCTGCACGCTCCATGAAGCCCTTCCAAGTTAGGGTGGGAGCTCCCCAGGTGCCACTGCAGCTGCCCAAACCATTGGGTTGCAGACCTGGGCCTCCCAGTCCACAGAGCAGGCAGGAGCCCTGCCCTTTGGGGCAGGGCTGTAGCTGCCCAACTTGCGGCTGCAGGTCTGAGCCTTCCTGTGCTCTTGGAAGGCCAGGAGCAAGCAGGATCCCTGCCTTCCTGGGCACAACTGTAGCTGCCCAAACCATGGCTGCAGACTCAGGCACCCCTGCACTCTTGGAGGCCTGGAAGGTCCCCCTGTCCTTGCCGGCTCAGCAGTGCCTGCTCCCATTGCCTGGCTTCTCCCTGCTGTTGGTGCCCACTCCAATCTTGGAGAAATGTTGGGGCCAACCTCTGGTGTCATGAATGGCAGCAGGAGGCAGACAGATTCCTGGATGGAAGGGGGCAGGTCCCCAGGGAGGCCCCACCTTCAGGCCAGGGAGGGTCTGAAGGCTGGGAGCCAAGCTGCCAGTCCCAAGGACCAGACTGGGAACTTGTGGTGCCATTTCCAGGCCCACCCAAGTACCAGTCGGCATACACTTTCTCCCCTCTGAGGCCCATAAAAACCCTGGGCTCAGCCAGAGCTAAGCAGACTACAGGATGACCAGCTGCAGAGAAGAGCTACCCTTTCTGCTGAGAGCTTCACAGACCTGCAGAGATGTTGGGACTACCAACTTCAGAGAGGAGCAACCCACTCCAGGGCCTCCTCTCTGCTAGGAGTTGGGCAGATGTCGGGATGACCAGTAGAGAGAGGAGCTACCCTCTCCAGGGGCTCCAATCTGCTGAGAGCTGCAGAGACAATGAGATGACCTGTCTGCAGAGAGGAGCCACCCTCTCTAGTGCCTCCTCTCTGCTGAGAGCTGAATACTCCACAGGACCACCTGCCTACAGAGAGGAGCTACCCTTGTGGGTCTGCTCTGAGCTGTTCTAACACTCAATAAAGCTCCTCTTCATCTTGCTCACCCTCCACTTGTCTGCGTACCTCATTCTTCCTGGACACAGGGCAAGAACTCAGGCAAAGGCGCCACTGGCCACAGAAGTTTCTGGCCAGAAAGACGACACCCCAGAGATCCCATAACAGCATCGTGCAACAGTAGGCCTTGAAGGAAATCAAAGTATTTTACCCCAAAATATATTTTGTTGACATATTTTGAAATGGGCCTGCAAAGCTTTCTCTTGTGCAGGGAAATGTGCATTCTGTAGAGAATCTCCTTCTCTTACTAGGTCTTTTCTGGAGAGTTTTGACACATTTTAAGGTCAGACAAGAGACATTTGCCATCTGTTCTCACTGAAGCTTGCTACCTGGAGGCTTCATCCACATGGAAAGAACCTGGGCTTGGCTGGGCACTGTGGCTTATGCCTGTAATCTCAGCACTTTGGGAGGCCAAGGTGGGTGGATCATGAGGTCAGGAGATCGAGATTATCCTGGCTAACACGGTGAAACCCCGTCTCTACTGAAAATACAAAAAATTAGCTGAGCATGGTGGCGGGCACCTGTAGTCCCAGCTACTCAGGAGGCTGGGGCAGGAAAATGGCGTGAATCTGGGAGACAGAGCTTGCAGAGAGCTGAAATTGCATCACTGCACTCCAGCCTGGGTGACAGAGCGAGACTCCATCTCAAAAAAAAACACAAAAAAACCTGGGCTTAAGCTCCAGCTTACTCTTTCAACCAATTGCCAATCAGGAAATCTTTGATCCACCTATGACCTGTGAGTCCTCTCCACTCCCACTCCCACCCCTGCGTCTGAAATGTCCACCTTTCTGGGGCTGAAGTAATGTATACTTTACATGTATCAATTTGTGTCTTTGCCTGTATATTTTGTCTCCCTACAATGTATAAAACCAAGCTGGGGCCGTTCGCGGTGGCTCACGCCTGTAATCCCAACACTTTGGGAGGCCAAGGTGGGCAGATCACAAGGTCAGGAGATCGAGACCATCCTGGCTAACATGGTGAAACTCTGTCTCTACTAAAAATACAAAAAATTAGCCGGGCGTGGTGGCGGGCGCCTGTAGTCCCAGCTACTTGGGAGGCTGAGGCAGGAGAATGGCGTGAACCTGGCAGGCAGAGCTTGCAGTGAGCCGAGATTGCACCGCTGCACTCCAGCCTGGGCGACAGAGCGAGACTCCATCTCAAGCAAACAAACAAAAAGCAAGCTGTAACCCAGCCACCTTGGGCACATGTTCTTAGGACCTCCTGAGGCTTTGTCATAGGCCATGGCCCTTGACCTTGGCAAAAGAAACCTAAGGTGATGGAGACTTGTGTCAAATACTTTTTGGTTTATAGCCGTTTACCCTCTGACAGCAAGATGTGGCTGCTCGCGAGAGCTTATCTTTTCCACTATGCCATCCTTCTGCCCTTCTCCTCCTTTAGTGGGGCAGCAGGCGTGGGCTGGGGAACAGGTGACCTAGCTCAGCTACATTCTAGGCTTGTGACTTTGGGTAAACCATTAACTTTTTTTTTTTTTTTTTTTTGAGATGGAGTCTCACGCTGTTGCC